CATTGGCAGGTACGTCAGCTTGATGTCAAAAATGCCTTTTTGCATGGGCATATAACAGAGGATCTTTTTATAGACCAACCACCAGGTATGATTGATTCCCAATTTCGATTTCCCAATTCGACACATGTTGTAAATTGAGAACGGAGCTTTATATGGTTTGAAACAGGCTCCGCGAGCCTGGTTTGACAGATTGAGTAGTTTTTTAATTTCTTATGGTTTTTTTTGTAGTTTGGCCGACCCTTCCCTGTTCATTTTTAAGTCTACACAAGGCACACTTGCACTTTTAATCTATGTTTATGACATGCTTTTGACAGGTTCTTCAACTTTGTTAATTGATAAATTTGTCCAGCTATTGTGTAGTGAATTTGCTATGAAAGACCTAGGGCTCTTGCATCATTTTTTAGGTATAGAGGTTACACACACAGATGATGGAATTTCGTTGAATCAGACCCATTATGCTTTGACATTGCTTGAACGGTTTGGAATGGTTGACAGACGGTTTGGAATGGTTGACAGTAAACCCATGGCTACTCCCTTGGAGCTCAAACCGGCTGTTGAGAAGGTTGCAGCTTCTGTTGACTCTCATTTGTATCGGAGTCTAGTAGGCGCATTATAGTATTTAACACTCACACGTCCGGATATTGCTTTTAGTGTCAATTTTGTTTCTCAGTTTTTGCAGAATCCAACAGTGATGCACATGAAGTTTGCCCATCAGATCCTTCGGTATGTTAAAGGAACTTTGAGTCTAGGAATATATTTCACTTCCAAGTCTTCGTTGTTGTTGCAGGGTTATGCTGACGCTGATTGGGCTGGTTGTCCTCTCACAAGGCGTTCAACAACAGGGTACTGTACATTTCTTGGACAGAATCTCATTTCCTGGTGTGCAAAAAAACAGCACACTGTCTCCCGCTCAAGTACTGAAGCGGAGTACCGAGCCATGGCCCACACTACTGCGGAACTCACTTGGCTAACTTATTTGCTTCAAGATTTTTCCATTCCCATGCCAGTTCCACCGACACTATACTGTGACAATCTAAGTGCACTGTTTCTTACAGTCAATCCTGTGTTTCATGCCAGAAGTAAACATATCGAGATATGAGCCTCAACTAAACCACTTTGTTCGAGAACAAGTTGCACGTGGTCTTCCTAGTAACCAAATATGTTCCCACTACTCAACAGGTAGTTGACATCTTCACTAAAACCCATACACAAGTCTGCCATTGCTATAATTTCGCAGCAACATGCCCTCCAGCCCGCAAAGGTTTGAGGGGGGATGTTTGATGATCACAGAGTGATAAGGTGGTTATAAGTGGATCACACTTCCCTTGCAGCTCCTGTTGTGGAAAAAAGGAGAAATAAGTGTGGTTTATGGAGGAATAAGGAGTGGCTAAATATTTTCCATATTCTGTAGATATATTGGGTTTTGGATTACCATGTGCAGATTGGTATCTTGACTGAGATTTGTAGCTAGGATCTGCTTTAATAAGGTGGTTTATGGAGGAATAAGGATGGCTAAATATTTTCCATATTCTGTTAGATATATTTGGTTGTTGGATTACCATGTGCAGATTGTATCTTGACTGAGTTGGTAGCTAGGATCTGCTTTCAATAATTAGTTAATAATTATTAAGGGATTTTTTGTACTTAGTCGTGGACTTAACCACTATATAAGTGGCTTCCTTTCATTACTTGCATATACAGAAAAAACAGCATTAATAATATATCAGTTGCTGCACCTTATATATATATATTCAAAACTCTTGTTTCTATTTTTCTTTCTGAAAGGAACTCATTAAATGCTTTTTAGGTGAATTGGTAAGATGTTAGACCCCATCAGGTGAATATATGTAAGGTGGGCTTACTTGGAAGTATTACCAATTAACTAGCTAACTTGTCACTCTTATATGCTCTTGATGGATATGGTATTTAGTCGATGTGAGTGTTTTTAAGAGACAACTGGTGCAATTGAATGTCATGAGTTGTATGCATGTTATTATCACTTGAGCGGCTGAATACATAAATCACTCTTGTACTTTTCACAAAAAATTTCATGCACCCTCAACTTTTGTTTTGACCAATTTAACATTTTAACTTATAAAATTATTCTTGTTAAATACTTTATGTGATCCATTGTACATCTTAATTTATAAAATTAAATCAATTAAATATTTATTAAAAATTTAAAAAAATGTAAAATTATTATTCCAAAAGTTGTATTAACCAGATATCAAATTAATATTTTGCATATAAAAGCCAAAAAACCTTAAAATTTACTATTTTTAGTGTAAAAAAGAGCAAAATTATTACAAAAAAAATTGAATTCACGGTGGCCCAAAGTCAATTTTTTAATTTAGGGTGCCACAAGGTTTGACCAAATTATTAATTCTTCTAAATTATAACGACATTGGGGTAGTTTGACCAAATTATCCTTCATATCAAAACTAATGATAATTGATAAAAATAGTTATTGTGTCTAATATAAATAAGATAACATTGAAAAAAATATCATTTATTACACCTTAAAACACTCAAGTGACTTATATTTTGATATACGGAGGGAGTAAATTGTTTGAGGAAAACAAATTTCGGGTACATTTAAAGAGAGGCTTACTTTAGTTGTAGTAAACAGTTTTTTCTATTTCTTTTTCATTTTTCCGTTTCAAATGCACACAAATGCCTATAATTTTTCATCAATTACACAGATATACAGCTCTTATATTTATTTTTGAGGAGGAACCGAGCTTAAAGAAAATTTAATAGTCCGGTTTATTCTGTACTCAGATTGTTAAAAGGCATATCTCCTATATTCCTTGTTATGTGTCAAGTGTTCCAACTTTAGACTCAGTCTTTGTATTTGTTTCTATTAAATTTCTGCATAGAATAAGTAAAGTTCCAGTAGAGGAAATTAAGGTTTCTGCATCAAGGAGTAAATATGTTTATCATATTTTAATTTGACCAAGAACCAAATTATTGGGTTTTAAATATAATCTCTCGATTGATCAGCTTGATTGGAAATATGTTTTATACTAAATATATAGGTTTTTTCTTTTTTTCTTTTTATTGTTGTTGCAGCACCTTCTCCAATCAAGCTTCATATTTTGAATCGTCGATAATTGATTTTAGTGAATTTTAGGAATTTTTTAAAGGTAAATATTCAATTTCATACTCGTTCAAACTCGAAAGTTAATTTTATTTTTATTTCAATTTTGCTTTCTCCACTTCAAGACATTATAAATCTTCTATGCTACTCGTTTATTGCAAGTGGTTAACCACATGCACTAACCATTTTTCGATGTGAAGTTCGTTTAAATTGTTTTGGGCGGAATGCATCAATTTGATCATATATTTTTGGCGATTTTCTTCGTGGCCTCCTGAATTTTATGAGGACCCATCATAATTATGTACTTTCACATTTCACTAATTATTTCCCTCGCTAAAATGAAATGTGAAAATATATGGTCATTATCGAACCCTTGCGACGAGAAGCATATTATTATTGAAATGTAGTGCGGGATTATGATTTAAGAAGCTGTAAAGATAATCGGTCAAAATTTCAAGGTCAGAATTATGCATTAGGTCGATTTTTTTGGGATGAGCTTCATCTTCATTCTTTTTGGATATAATTAGGCATTTTGTTCCTTTATCCTTAAATTTAAGGGTCGCCAAAATCTAGTTTTTGGAACCAGAATCGTTGGTTCCGAACCGGTGGAAATCGAAACCAGAATCGACTCGAACCGATTCGGTTCCCACCGGTTCAGAACCGACGGTTCAGAATCGACGGTTCTGTTCCAAAAATCGAATTTTGGCGACCCCTTAGTGTAAGGATAAAGGAACTGGAACCGGTTCAGTTTCGGTTCCACCAGTTTTGGAATCGTGAACCGGCAGTTCTAGTTCCTGTCGGAACCGTCCTAAACCGGTCGGAAAACTGCCTGAAGAACCGGCCGGAACCGTTGAGGAGCTGAAATCATTCAGTTCCAAACTGTAACCAGAACCGTTAATTTTTGGGTCGGTTCCGATTTCAAATTTTTTGGAACCAGAACCTTCAATTCCGAAACCGTAGCGACCCAGCTTACATTGCATGCAAGAATTTCAAAATAACTTTCGTACATGTCAATGTCCAATTATTAATTCCTAGTAAATACTCACTAACCATAACCAATATTTCCATTTGCCTATCCATTTATTTCAACTATAACTTTAATAATTGATTATCACATAAAAAAAATAATGGTGAAAAAATAGATCAATAGGTTATTATGTTCAAATAAATAAATTAAGTAAACATGGGAAAATAAAATACACGGACCATCATATTCCTCACTAGTCTTAGTAAACCTTTCAAGTTTAAATTTCTAAGTTTATATATCATTTGAGAATATGATTTAGGAATTTGTTGTTTTCATTGCAAAAGACCTTCCTATTTCCAATCTTGTTAAGTATAATCCCTTGTCTACGCCACCATGCATTATGTGCAAATATTTTCTTTCATTTGACAAAAAATTATCTTATAAAATTACATCTATTAAACACTTCAATTTACAAAATCATTTTATTGAACACTTATAAAATTAGATTAATTAACACCTATTGAATAGTTGAAATTAGTAAAAATTATTGTTTCAAAAGTTACATTAATTACTTATGAAATCATAATTAGTAAAAGTCAAAAAATATTATTGTTAGTGTGAAAAGATATATAATGTTACCAAAATTTATAAATTTAAGTTCATGATGTCAACTACAAAGTTCAGAATGCGATAAGATTAAAGTTACAACATTCAGTATTCCACCCTCCTACCGAATGAAGATCAAGTATTTTGTCTCACTTGGGTATATTATTTAATCCCCAAGATTTGATCTTAATTATTACTTATCCCTATATTTTAACTAAATAGGCAGTTTTTTGATATCATGGATATAAATTTGTAATCACTTGTTACAGAGCCCAAGAAAGCATTATGCTAACATTAAACAGAGTTCTACCAAATATGAGAAGGATATGTTCAACGAATCAAAAGCAGGATGATAACTCAGAGAAGAGGAAAGCATCTTTTGACCTTACATGATCTCTTTGATAATGAGACCCTCAGAATAAGTTGGTCTGAAATGTATACACATATTTAAGTATGTTCCATATATAAAGTAAAATAAAAAAGAAAGCACCCAGGATTTACTTACAGAGGAGGAACAATACAAACATTAAAACTTACAAATGTTCACATAATGCTTCAACACTTCCCCCATTATATCTACCGCATAACATTGCTGCTTTTTCATCTCAAAGTCATCACGGGCCATGAATTAACCCCAGATGCTGGCAACAAAGGCCGTACAATGGGGACCCGTCTCACTACTGAAAATGCTTCATTAAGACGTGCAGCACGACTCATGAACTGGGAAACCTTCTGCAGATGGAGATTAGAAATAGAACTCAACATTTATGGAAATCAGAAATGAAAACCAAACCAAAGCTGGACGGCTATGTCCTCTTTCAACTTTTGTGAAATAGTTTCTGAATTCCCCATAATATAAGGTAATTTGCAATAGAGAGTAAAAGTTGTATGCAATAATTTTAAAGAGATCAGACCATATCTGCTCAGATTATAAATTGGGAACAAATAAAACTGAAAAAACTTTTACTGCCTGCAGACCTATATACAAGTCTCAAGAACCGTTTTAATCAAGAGCATAACTCATAAAGATTGTGATTGCAAAACCAGAAATAATCTTTCAAACAGAAGTTCGTGATGTGCAGGCATATAAAGGCAGCAAATAATACAGGATATACGAATTCACAATTGTTTCTCCTCTAAAGGCTAATAATGGAAAGAAGAATCTTGCAAAAAAGTTGCTTGGGAGGATTCAACTAACATCCCTTGTGTTCTATGAGGACAACCTAATTATCAAATCCCTCGCTCTATCAGTTGCAAGTGCAAATACAAAATGAAGAAATAGATTAAAAACAAACACTTTGATGACCAAAAAATATACACAGAAAGAAAGACAGAGAAGCTAGTACAGAATACATAATGGCTAATGCTCAAGATCAGCTTTAGTAAGATTGAAAGTGAAGCAACCAAGTAGAACAAAAAATTACACAAATGAGAAAGGTATTCAAGTCCACAACAAAGTATTACTTGATTATTCTGCATGTTTACAATTCGCAAGCAGCAGACAAGGGGTTAAACATATTCTGTCCCATATATATCAGTAAGTTATGCTGCCCCTGTAGACTTGACATCGTAAAGACAAAAACAAGCCAAGTTCCAGAACACTTAAAGGCAACTACTACAATTTTCAGAACCATATTCTTGAGCTTCATCTGATGTTTCATCTTAAATAACCCAGAAATATCCACCTGGTTGGCATAGAAATGCAGCACAGTGCTAGGCTTATTAAAGCAGCATAATGGCAAGCCTTTCCCAGGGCTTGTAAATCACATCTATGTATCGCCTATTCCTAAAGTAATGAAGAGTATGCCACACCCTATTTGATTGTTTCACGTAAAGTATGTTACGACCCAACCTAACTCGAGTGGTTGGAAGATGAGAAAGGGAAGGAAAGAGAGTGAAAACAGAAAGAGAGATTTTGCAGAGATAAAGGATTCTGATATTGTGAAAATTTTCTAATTACTACTCGCGAAGGCCCAGTTATATTGATTAGGACTTGGTTTATAAGAAAACAACTAAAGTGACTAATTAAACCAAGGAACTGACACTATCAATACAAAATGACTCTGCTACTCGCTACATATAAGCTTGTGTCCAAATCTTAGCTAACCATCATGAGTCTCTCCTAATGACATCTTAAGAGTCCCTGACCGCCTGCCATACCATGCAGACTACTTTAGATAATGTCCTTATTGCTTATGAGTGTTTCTATTATACAAGGATAAAAAAAAAAATTAAAAAAAAATTAAAAAAAAAAAAAAAAAAAAAAAAAAAAAAGCTTATGAGTGGTTTCTATTATACAGAGATAAAAAAAAAAATTAAAAAAAAATTAAAAAAACAAAAAAAAAAAAAAAAAAAAAACAGAAGTGGGAAGGAGAGGTTTTCCAGCATGTAAACTAGACATTCTAAAAAAAAAAAAAAAAAAAAAAAAAAAAAAAAGAGGGGAAGGAGGAGGTTTCCAGCATGTAAACTAGACATGTCTAAGGATTCTAACAGGGTAGAATAGGCATTCTTGGTGAAAATCATGGGCGGATTGCATATTCTGAGGATTTATTTGCTTCCAGATTGGGCTCAGCTAAGAAATGGATTGGCCTTAGGTATCAGGCGTGTGTTAGCTGTGCATTATTCTATTTTTATTAATGCCTTCCCAGTTGCTAATATTCATCCAACAAGAAGACCTTCTATCTATGTATTTAAGTGCAGAGGGTGTTTCAGGTCTCAGCCAAAGGCCCAAAGCCAGAAAAGTAGGTAGTCTTAATAGGGTGAAAGTTATGTTTGCAGAATAGCACTAATAATATTATTCTTGCTATTCACTGATGATAGTATCCTTTTCTCAAAAGCATTCCAAAAAGATCCTTAACCATTAAAGAGATTCTCAAACAAAATGAGCAAGCATCTAGTCGAAAAAATAAAGTAGGATAAAAACCAAGGGTTACTGGTTACTTGCCGTAGCAATGCATCCAGAGATGCAAGGATCATTGTATTAGCATCCTGAATGTGAGGGAGATTGATAAATATGAAAATACTCGGGCTTGCCTGCTGCTATCAGGAGATCAATAAAGGTTGGTTTCAATTCAGTTAAGGAACCCAAGTAGAAGGAAACTCTGACACTAGACAGAAAAGTCATTGTAGAGGGCAAAGTTGTTCTGAGAGGGCTAAGAGGAAGGTTTTTATTAAATATATAGCCCAAGCAATTGCTAGTTTTATAATGTCCTTTTCCACTGCCTCAGAGACTTTCTGATATAACAAAATTTTTAATATTGAGGTTGTGATGGGGCCACAAATAGAATAAACAGAAAATTCATTAGTTAAGCTGGACCAAAATGTGTGCACCCAAAGCAGATAAAGGACTAGATTTTAGTGTTATCAGTTCCTTTTATTATCAGTTCAAAAGTCATTCCTTTACTTTAGTTTTCCTCGTAAAATAAGCTTGGGAGGTAATAAAAGAATCCAGTGTCTTTGATTCTTACTGCTAATGTTGGATTCGCTCCAAGCTACATGTGATGCAGTATATGTTTAGCAAGGAACTTATTGACACAAGGCAAGAGGCAGATTATGGAAGACAAGGAATATTAATATATGTAATAAATAGTGATGAAAAAAGATAGATTTCATTCCATTCACACCACATTAAACTAAATAACCCTATGTGAAATGCTACAGAGACTTAATACTGAGCTGCTGAATGGCTGATCGAGGTTCCTTTTAGCTTCCAAGCACCTGGTGATAGTAGAGGCAATATAGGATAGACCATCCTCAATTTCAACGGAAGAAAGTAGCATCTTTTATTTTTCCTGTCCTATTAGCATATGAACCAGATAAAAAAAAAATGCCCCTTGAGCATCATTTAGCCATCAAATATTAAAATGCTTCTTGAGCATTACTTGGTCCACAATCTTGATAATTCTCTCATTTTCCCAACTTTTCTACAATTACAATCCATATAGTTTTACAGATTCCCTTTTCCAATATCTCATATTTCTAAGTAACCTCAGAAACTCCTAACTTGAGCCATTTTCTAACAGATCTACTCAATTAATTCCTTATTTGGCCAATCATGACCAGCTAGACACCAAGAACTTCTATTAGATAATCATCTACTGGTGGTGGCAATAACATATTCCACCTTTATTTCATCAAGCAAAGGCTAGTTCAAGAAGAGGAGAAAAGACAAAAGAAAATGGAGCAGGGGGCTGTTACAACCACTATCTTAAACCAAATTCCTAGAATGAAAGAAGGCCAGGAATATATGCAGAGGAAATGCTACTACCAAGTCCTCTGTGCCGTTGCACTCGAAATGAATAATAATTTATTTCATAAAGATAAGTTAACTTTTAAAATCTAAAAGGAAAAATGTCACGACTAATCGTAAAGCATGAAATGGCAAGTTAAAAAATTAGTCCAGCCAAGAAACATAGGCAGCTAAAAACAAGTTGTCTGAATCTCGATGAGAAATCTAGATTAGAGTTAGAACACCCTGCAGATACAACTGTTGCAAAACTCATAGTGATAAATCACAATTAGCACTTGACCAATTTAACCATATTATTACCACTTGAAATGGCCAAATTAAATAAAAGTAACGACTGACCTTGTCATCCACAGTGACCTTAAGCGGCAAGCCCCTTGTCTTGCGCTTCATCCTGTACAATCTCCGTCCCAATATAACAAATCCCATAAAAGCTGCAGCCATAGAGAAAGTCCAAACAGGACTGATCCTGAAAACGCAATATTTCAACAGCTCAAAAGGAACCTTCCACCATACTACCTTCCTCTTCTCCTCATCACCTCCTGGTTTCCTTTCACCAACTGCAATAATGCTCGAATTTTCCTCTTTTGATGCATCTCCAATGTTGGATTCACCCAAAATCTCAGAACCCTCTGTCACTCTCCCAACATCACCAAAAACCAGATTATCACCACCTGAATCCGACCAGAACTTGCTAAAATCCTTATCCTTACTATGGTTTTCTCCAAATTCTTCAAAACCAGACTGCGATTTCACATTCTCATCAGACCCCACTTCGTTTTTGCCCTCCAAATTAATAAGATTACTTTCACTAGACTCAAATTTCCCTTTTTTACCTTCAATTTCTCCAGCTACTCCAAAAACAACTTCAGTTTTCACATTTTCCACAAAACCCAATTCACTTTTCACATCAAAATCAGTAAATTTACGCTCATCAGACCGATCACTACCCGAATCAGACCAAAATTCACCCGAATTCCTCCTCTGATATCGAGTTTCCGGCCCAGGATCAATCCAACTAGGATTATCAGACTCAATGGAACCCTCGTCACTAGCATCAATAGCAGTTTTAGCATATCTCTCATCATTTTCAAGAGAGAAGTAATCTAACCTGAGAACACCTTCAGATTCAACCTCAATTTCTTCAATATTCCTCGAATTATTCACTGACTTGGGCGAGTTAACTCCGTCTGTATCCGAGTTGACAAGGAGTTCCCAGTCTTGAAACTCAGCTGAAGCATCTCCGTCCATGATCGTTGAATTGGAGAGTCAAAAGTGAACAACAAACTCTCTTTCTCTCGACCAAAACAGAGACCCAAAATGAAGAAAAGAGAAAAATCTAATAAAATATATTACCATTAAAGAGGAAAGAAAGGGTAAGATGCAGAGGTTAGTTTTAATAGGTAACCCTCACACGCAGTTAGTTGGTCCCCTGTCTCTCCCTCCCCACTGAATTCTCTTCCACTATTATTTTTCTTTTTCCAAATTTATTTATTGTGAACTTAATTCATTTAATATATCTTGCCGTTAAATTCAGAAAGATATAATTGGCATATTTATATTAGAAATTAATTTTCGATTAATATTTTAGTTGAATAATTCACGAATTGAGAAAATTAATTTATTTAAATATTAATAAAAAATTAAAATATTGAGGGTGTACATTATAAAAAAACGAATAAGGTATTGCATTAAAAAAAAAAAAAAGGTTACCACAGTAACTTTTGAAATAAAATTTACAGACGAGCTTCCATTAATAGAATTTTAGGAAAACAGATAATAAAATTAATCAGTCAATCAACAGCTCTATTACCATCTTAATTTTGACAATTTTTTGAAATAAAATAATTAAAATTAATTGTAATTTTAATTATTTTTTCTAAATGTTTATAGAATACACGAGAGGAATTACTCTTTCTTTTAAATAATATTTATCAAATTGATAATAAATGTGATGGCCGATCGAACTTAAATTTAAGACCTTTCATTTTAAACATTTTTCTACAATATGCAGAAAGATAAAAAACGCACATCAGATTGAAAAATATTTAAAATGTTATTTTGGGTAAAAGAAACATTTTAAAATATTATTAGGTTTCTATTAAAAAATGATATGAAACTTTAGTACCTGGGCCAATGGAATTGCAATATGTAATGAGAAGTAGTGTAACGGTGTGTATTGGAATTATTCTTTTATTTTTATTTTTATTTTCTTTTTGAAAATTGAATTATTCTTTTATTGAAGGCAAGGGAACAGACAGAGATATATCCTTTCGAGGACAGGGGGGAAAATCTAGAGCAGTCTGAGCAGAAGATGACAAGTAGACACAAGTTGGTTTGGATAAAGTGCGTATGCACATTATATAAAGAAAGGTATTTTTATTAGGAGGGGTGACACAATAGTAGTGCTGTTAAAAGGAAACTTAAGCTCCATGAAAAATCATTTATCTTCAAAAAAAATATTGAGAAAAATATTTTTGAAAGGACTTATTTTTACTGTTTGGTTATAAGGTTAAAAATTAGTTAAAAATAGTAAAATTTTTAACTCATAAGACTATAAAAAAATATTAAAATTTTTAACTCTCAAGACTATAAACATATTTATAAATAATAAAAATTTTGTAATTTAAAATTTTATTATGAACCATGAGAAAAAAAATACAAAAGATACTAAATTATAAAAGTCATCGAGGACCACTGGTAGTTGGTGATGAATGATGACTGATGGTGATGGTTACAGATGATTAATAAATTAAAAGATATGTATTTATAAAGTTATAATAAATTTATTAATGTCTGAAAAATGTTTTTCTCTATTGAAAATGAAAGTAAAGTCATTTTTCTTAAAAATGACTTGATTTTCTTTTAACTGGAAAAATATTTTTCATTGACTTATTCTCTTGAACTCCCTAAATAACGAAAAATTATGGAAAATATTTTCCTCCAAATACGAAAAATTATAGAAAATATTTTCTCATAAATTATTTTATAGAAACAATTGAAGACTTAATTATTAAATGGAAAAATTACTATTTATCTTCTTATTTTGTCAAAATATATCATTGTCTTTTTATATTTAAAAATATACATAGTTTTATTTATATCGTTTACCCCCAATATATTTTTATCATTTACAATCAATCACCGGCTACTATCACAATTTATTATTTCTATACATTTTTCCTCATATTTAACAATAAATTTAAAATATAAAATTTCTATAACTGCAAATATTTTAAATCCTATAAATTAAAAGTTTTACTAGTTTTAAATAATTTTTAATGTTACAACCAAACAGATTCGGCCAAGATTGGAAAAGAGTTCGGCCATTCAAACTCGACCTAACAAAAATTGAGGACCTTAACGTCAATTTCACATTGTGAGAAAGTCATCCCAATTTTCTCTGGCAGGAGCCCTGGTGTGAACTTCACATTAACAATATGATTTCAGTTTCCATCCTCAGAAATATTACCCTAAAAAATGATTAAAAAAAATTTAATAATTGGAGAAATTAGAATTTTGATCAGTAAACTAAAACTAGTACATCGAAAGTCACCCTCACCTTCACCTAATTTGAGCAACTCACTAAAAATTTAACAAGAAAACGCAAATCAAAATATTACTGTAACCTTCAAAATTAGGTACCATTGCAAAGTGACTGATCACTATAACAGTTAGATGATAGTGTAACAAAATTGACAACTGCAAAAGGGGCAAAAAAAAAAAAAAAAAAAAAATACCATTGCAAGTGACTGATCACTATAAAGTTAGATGATAGTGTAACAAAATTGACAACTGCAAACGGGGCAAAAAAAAAAAAAAAAAAAAAAAATGAAAAGAGAATGGCAAAACAAAGTCTGTCAACCAACAGCTCAAAGCTCAAATGTCAACTATGAAGAAAATAACATTCTTTTATCAAATTGTATTGACCGGTTCACAGATTCTCACCCTTTTGTCAAAAAAGGGAGGAAGCTATTGCAATTTCGTTAAAGAATAAAGAGCAGAAGTGACATAATTGCAACATAAGGCTTTCGATCTTTTTGGTATATAAATACCACATTTCGCAATATACCCACTAAAATTATATAAAATACCTGTGTGAAGCATATCATATATGACACAGTGGAGGCTGTGATGATTTAGTGTTAGAACAGAACAATGGTTCGATTTTGTGTTGAGCAGGTGAGATTTTCATAGGCTCAATCGTCTCCTAAGTTCATCAACAAATGTACTTCTAGGGACCTCTTCTTCAACTGTGGTTTCGAGGTTCTTTATTTTTACAATCCCTTTCTCTAGCTCCTTATCACCCACGAGTACCATCCAGGGAATTCTAGACTCTTTTGCACGGTCAATGTGCTTACTGAACCTTGTACTCACAATGTATTCTGCTTTCAACTTGGCACCCCACAACTCACTAGCGAGCTCTGCAGCTAAAGATAGTTTACTTTTATCCCCTAGTATGCTCAGCAGAATTTGGGTTTCAGTTGGTCGAGTTGTCTGCCAACACCCAAAAGAACAAGATTCATCAGTTCAATTTGTTATACGATTGAATAAATATCTGAACATGACGAATAGACAAAAACCAAAAATTCATTAGCTTTTTAACAATAGCAAATCCATACAAGAATTACATCAGTTGATTATCTGTTAATATAGTTTTACTTAACAAAGAGTGAACCAGAAAACTTTGTGCCATTACATTAAAGATCGAGTTCCATTTTGGATGGAATTGACAAATTCATATGTTATTTCACTCTTGCAGATCTGAATTCTGAAATCAAAAGGCATAACTTTTTCAACCATTTGGGCATTAACAGAAAGAAATTTAAAATTTAAAAATAAACCAAAATATGGATGCATCTTAATAGTTCGTCACAATGTTGAAACAATGGAATAAGAAAAAGTTCAAAATAAGAAAAAGTTCAAGAAATTTTAATAAGGAGTAAGGATCTTTGTAAATAAAATTAAGTTAATGAGATGTAGTTAATTCTGCTAGGATATGACACTTGTGTGATATGGCTTTTAATCTTTTGAAGACTACACTGCAAAGGAATTGTCAAGTAGAAGAATAAATATAACCTTGGAATAGAGTTGTGCAAAGAAGGCTAACCAAAGCACTTGGTCCAATTATAGTTTGCGTTTTCTTATGTTCCTCATATTTTCAATTCCATTACAGATTTCTCCTTTCCAAAATCTACAGATTTCTCCTTTCCAAAATCTCCAGTTAACTGATCAAAAATATATTAAAAACATTCCACTATTACTGCTAGTACAGACTGTCATTAAGTACCTCAATTTGTTTTATCAAATACTGGGTTCAGTGAACCATGATCATCCCTGATTTTGAATGCCGAAGATAGTGATCAAGTGTAAAACATATTTAATTAGGATCGCCTAAAATAATTTTATCATATAGTCAATCTAAAAGTGGCATGGTTGTTACTAGCTCAGTGGTTCATCATCTAACACAAAAATTAGCTAACATTCAGATTATATACACAGAAGTCACATGAAATGTCATTATCACCTGGTTCCGGTCCTTTACAACCTGCTCCATTATGGTAAATACTCGCTCAATTCCAAGACTGACTCCCACAGCTGGAACCTGCTTTGTACCAAACATTCCTATAAGGTTGTCATATCTTCCTCCAGCAGCGATGGAACCAACCTGAGTTATCAATAAGTTAATCATACAATTCTAGGAACAAAATCAGAGCTGTGCTTGCATTATTAATAGGAACAAAATAAATAGAAATAAGGAAATTGGAAGAGTATAACAGAGAAATAATAAGATAAATCAGCCATATTTAGATTTAGGGAGGTAATAAAGGGTAGTGCCTGCATCTTATTTACAAGTTAATTCCAGTATTGTGCATCAAATAAGAGAAGCTGCATACTAGCACTGTAATTAGGCTAGGCTGCCGATAAATCCCCTGAGCAAAATCATTAGTACTAAAATTTTGTGACAGATCAGCACCGCTCTCAATCTGAGTAGCTAGTCAAAGAAGCCAGAGTCACCATCAAAGACTGGTAACTTGATTTCTTCCTCTTAAAGGAGTCAAAACTTCTCTAATTCTATTATCTGATAGAACAAAAAACTAGTCAAGCAGGAACCCAGAAGCTGCAATAACAACTTTCTAAAAGAGAGTGAATATATATATATATATATATATATTATATATATTAATATTAGGTTGAGAATAGTCCTCATAGGCCATGACCAGCTGTAGGCTGCAAAAAAGGGGAGGCTGTCCTCCCCCTTTCCCAAATCTCACAAAAATGATTAAGCCTCCCACCGTATGAAAGGATGGTGGAGGGGCTTGAACCTGAGAACCCTTACTCCCACTCCATTAAAGAGTAAATGAAGAATTTTCAGCCTATTTTTCGTACTTTTTTCCTCTATTAGATGGCCTCAAAATGTATCATTAACTAACTTGGTCTCAAACAATTTTACAAACCTTTAGAAGTTCCATTTAACATCATTCAGAAAACCACTGAAGCAAACATCAATATTTCTCAGCCACAATTCTACTACTGCCATATGCATAAAGTAGCACCTGCAACCACTAATACTAAAATCAATACCACCATTTATCAACAATCAATGTAACATTGACCACCAAGTCAATTTTTGATTGCCACCAATATCTTCATCACAATGCCACAGACAAAACAATGTTTCTCCGGTGCAGAAGAAAAAAAAAAAAAAAAAAAAAAAAAAAAAAAAAGAAGAAAACCCCGACAACTCCAAACCCCCATAGAATGAAATAGTAGGTTTACAAAGTGAAGAGATGAGGAGAGTATAATTTTATGCTAAAATCTTCAACAGGCATTATACTAATTCACTATGATTAGTATAAATATCCAGAAGCATAAATGAAATTTTACCTGTGTAGTCCCTTTAAAAACAGCTTCAAATATGACTCCAGTATAATAATCAAGCCCTCTAGCAAGACTCAAGTCAAAAACCACTTTGTCAACACACTTTGACTTCTCTAGAGCACCAAATAAAATTTCCAAGTCATCCAATGCACGTTTAGAAGATGCGTTGCCCAAAAACTCACTGCCCTCTTGTTTAAGCTTTGATAATAATTCCCTAGGTCGTCCCCTTTCCTTCACAAATGTGCCAATCTTGTCTGCAGTCTCAAAACTCAATCCCTTCTCCTCAACCTACAGAGACTTTAAAAAATCATATAATTCGAAAATAAAAAATAAAATATAAAATAATGTGAAATAATCAGCTAAGAATATGCATGAAATTATTAATTCATTAAATAAAGCGAAACAAAGTCACCATTCATCAACCAACATAATAAAGAATGAAAAGCTAGCAGGAATACAAATAAATAAATAACAGAGAATCAGGATAAGGGATAAAAAGGGGTAATTACTATATAGTCCCTAGATTTTGCTCAAATATACTAGTAAGGACCTCGGTTTTCAAAATTACACTATTTAGTCCTTGCATTATAATTCTGCTATACTATAAGATCCCATGGTTAGTTTTTCCATTAAGTATTTGTGAATTATCAAAAACATTCTTAAGGATAATTACTATATAGGGACTCAATAGTATAAAATTACAAAAATTGAGCTTTTCTTAATGAACTTAACAAATAAATATCAAGATTGGATCTGTATTCTCAATGCTCTTACCATTTCTTTTTTTACTTGCTCAAAGGATTGCTTGTCTAGTTTGTCAATACTTGAACAAATAGTACGGAACTTTTCAGATGGCACTCCACAAATTTCTAGCATGCCATCCAACAATTTTCGATGGTTCAATTTAACCTGTCACATGAGATGAAAACCAGTTGAGTGAGTACTTAAAATGCTTTAATAGCTCCCATTTATCTCCCACAAAGCTATCAAAAAATGCAATGAACAAATTGACTAGCACTTCTCAACAAATTCTGAGCCAGAATATGCAAAGAAAAGCAAAGAAATATCAAATAAGCTTGGATTCTGTTGGTACTGCATTAGCCACAATTCAATGTATCAATAGATTTGTATTTGTCTGAGTTAGTAAAAAGCATATGCTTTAAATCTTTTACAGGATTCTAATTTGATTTTATTGTCTTTTAAGAATCCATAAAATTCATGATTTCATAGTTATGCTATCTGCTGATCTCTAATGTAATAACAGTTATATACATTTGAAAGGATTAGCATTATCAAATACTATCAGAAACTCAATTTTTCTTGAGTATATCTAATTCTAACAAGGATGGGGAAAACCATTTCGCAAGAATTACCTCATAATCTCCAATGTCAAGCTCATCAAGCAACTCTGTCAAAATCTTAACAATCTCAAAATCTGGTCCCATTTCTTCATATTGGCCAGCAATATCAAAATCACATTGGTAAAATTCACGGTATCTTCCCTTAGATGGGTTATCTCTTCTGTACACTTTAGCTATTTGATACCTTTTAAAGGATGTGATACCATTCATAGCCACATACCTTGCAAATGGAACAGTTAAGTCATACCGCAAAGAACAAAGCTCTCCACCCTGCAACATGTGGTAAAAATAAATTAACACAAAGACATGACAACTACAAATAATTACCTAGACTCCCCCCTTAACATAATCAACTAAATAGACATATATGGATAAAATGGAGCCAACAGCAGCCAACATAGGGAAGGAAGCACAAAAATAAATATATAAACATACATAGATATAGCAAGTTGAAGTGGAAAATGAACCCAACATGAAAAAGCCTAGCATGAGAATGACATTTATAATAGTCAATTACGAATTCATTTAACTATTTCAATCACAAAAGAAAAGGCTAAACACAACTGAGAGCCTAAAACAGGCTAAATCTAAAGCACAAGTTAACTTGAAGGCTCCATTTGTCTCTCAAAAAATATTTTTCTAATTTCTGGCTTTTGAAGCATTTAGGGACATTGGTCAATGGAAAATATTTTGTCAATGATAATACTAAATCATTTTCAAGGAGATAACTTCCTCTTTTTAAGGAGTAAGTCATTTCTGAACTTCAAACTCATTATAGTAAAAGAACAACACATAAACACACATCCATTAATCAACTGATCATTGATGGTTACCATTACCTTCACTTGCAGTCACCACCCATCATTGTTGAACATTGGCAGTATGACATTTTTTTATATATTTTTTATCATATTTAACAAGAAAGTACAAGCATTATTAAGTTTTCCAACTAATTTTCAATATTACCAGGGAAAAAGCATAGAATGACTTCTTTTGAAAATGTTTACTTGGAAAATATTTTCTTAGAGGCAAATTATTTTCCATGAAACAAGTGAAGCCTAAATTATCTAAATATATTTGACTGGAAACAAACTTCACTTGCTCCCCTAACATATTCTTGTTTCAAAAATTGAAATGCAAAGGCCTTAACATGCACACAAATATATCTAAAAGCAACAATAATTAAAAGTTGTAACAATAACACTAAAATGCTAATGAATAATTAAAAAATAACAGCAACACAGTAACTAACAGCAAACATGAGGTCACTTGAATTAACAAATATACCCAATTTACCTGGTCAGCAAGATCATAAATCAATTTTGAATCCTCCCCATATTTCCCCATAAGAGTCTCTCTCAATTCAAATGCAGGAGTGTCTAAGGCTGTGGCGCCATGCCTCTTGAAGACATCTGTTATTATTGAAAATGCTTTCTCTCTAATTGCCATTTGCTCTTTGGCAAAATCACGAGTCCCCTAATATTTACACAATATTCACAGATAAGTATGTTAGATTCTATTGAAGAAAAACAAGAAATAATTTACAGAAAATTAACACAGGATAAAATAGACTCATAAATATTAATCCAAACATTCAGAACTCGAACTGTCCCAGTTACAGTTCCCATAACAATAATTATCATCAACATAGCATATAAAGTATGTATAATTGGATTAATTGTAAAGGACAGGATATTCTTTGCAAAATCTTACAAGATGGTGTGGTTCCAGTGATTTGAGTTTGAGTTGTTGAAAAAAGCATTAGGTTGAAATATTAATTAGAGGCATTAAGTTTGTTTTTAAGGTTACACCGATTCTGGTTCTTAAAAGCTTCAAATCAACTAAGAGCACTACCAATTTTTTTTTTCCCAGATCTAAAAATGTGCTTGTCCAGAAAAACAGTATCAACCTCAATACTAAATTGACTCTTATAAGCACAATGCTTTCCCCTGTGTCTATTGAGCATAGCTTTCGCAAACAATAATGGACAACCATAGGCAGTCTACAATTGGTGGTTTACTATAAAAGAGATGATATTCTGAGGATGATAAGTCAAACATCAATGTGGCAGACAATTTTTTTTTTTCCAACATTCAATCTCATTATCTTCATTGTTAAGTCATGTAACAGCATTCCCATTGAATGGAATTACTCATTATACTTAAATACCCAGCATTCTCCCTCTTGCGTAATTTTTCATTTTTAAATCCGATGCCCCAAACCATGCTTGATGGGGACCATCATCAACGTCTAGTACTTACACCAAATATGTTATTTACTTTTCAACAATAAATGATAAATAAAAGCAGTAAATTCCAAACATAATCTGTTACCTTCGGAAGTTTGGGAAGTCTCCTACTCTCATTGCTTTCCACAATCTCTTTCACTTTCTGTACCATCACATCAAATTCTGGTTCTTTTGGATCAAAAAACAACAAAAGATCCTCAACCCATTTTTCCAAAACCTGCAAACCGTCACTGGAATCCTCTCCCTTGCTCTGCAACCTGTCCTTAATTAACTGTACAATCAAGCTAGTCCCTTTACCCAAAAGGGCCTTTTTCTTCTTCTTCTCACCCTTCTTCGCCACCTTCTCATCCCTCCCATTTACGTCAATTACTTCAGCGGCCTTTACACTCATCAGCTCTCCACCTTCAAGAGCCACAAATGCTGTGATACCCTCCCAGGCAACGATCCTCCACACAGTCCCCAACAATGCATTCACTTCGTGCACAAATTTCCCATTATCCTCTTCAAAATCTGAATCCAAAGCCAGCTTATAAGCATTTCTTAACACATTCTCATTAGGACATTTGCTTTCAAACCTAGTTAGCAAACTGTTTTTCAAACTCTCATTTCCCACTGATTCCAAATTAATTTTCGCCCGACACAAACTACTCTTTCCCAAGTTCTGAAGCGCAGCAGCTAATGCTATTACAGCTGGGATGGCGTCGCCTTCATAGACTTCCTCGCGAGAATTCAATGCGACCCGCGATACAGAATGCACTGACTTCACCACTTCCCTCAATCTTCCATTAATCTTTGGAATCTTAGAAAACGCATCATTCTGTACTTTACCCACCAGCTTAGACCCATTAAGCAATACTTTCATGTCTCCAGCAACCCCAATACCTTCCTTGTCAACATAGCCATCTCCAGTGTCCATGGAACTAAACGCGGACACATCACCCTTAGCTGCCTCACACGACAAAGCAGCAACAGCATCCACAACTGAAGCCAAAGCCGCAGATTCATGGTCCAGAATGGAACAAACTCCGAACACCTGAGCAGACGATTTCTCTACTGCAATACATTCCTTCTCAGTCAACTCAATTGAGTTGAAATTCCCAGTCTCAAATTTCGAATTTAGGATTTCACAAATCAGATTGGGAAGAAAAGTACGAATGCTGGTGGAATTGGACAACAGAAGGAGCTTGTTAAGAAGAAAGGTGAGAGAGGCGCGGATTTCGAGAGGGGTCAAGGATTTGAGAAAGGGGATTTGAAATGGTTTAAGAGACGGTGGAGGGTCTTGATCAGAGAGTAGTCTATCGATTGCCGATGAATCATTACGTAATTGTGCTTGGCCGGTGGCGACAGCGTAGACGGAAGAGGATGAAAGAGACGAACCCTTACCTCCTAAAGTTATAACTTTCACTTCTGCCATTAAAGACCTCTTTTTTCTTACGAATATCAGAGTCGGAAGCTGAAGCTGTTGCCTTAAAGATTTTTTGTTCAGAGCCACCAAACCCAAAAGCGCCAAATTGGGCAAGGTTTAGGACAATATCCAATGAGCAATTACAGCTAGGGTTTTGAATTAAAAATAAGCTGGTGCGTGCTAGGGTAACGTGGTGTCAATTCACGTCACTCGCAGCTGAGTCTTACTTTTAAGTTCGAAAAACAACTTATAACCGGTTACCTGTCAAAGAGGTCAGCTTTTTATTTATATTTTGTTTTAAATCAAAAATAATAGGTTTAAACTTTAAATACTTAACAGGACGAGAGAGAAATAAAATGCTGCAAATCCTTCTCCTCCATCGCATTCTTTCTAGCTATCGCTTCGGGTCTCGCCATCTCTTTCAAGAGAGCTAACTGTATCAGATAGCTGCGTTCCAACAGCCATCTCTTCCTATAAATTTGACCCTTCATTGCAGCAGGTATAATATTGCAAAATGTTAGATTTTTATGGGATTTAGAGCTTTAGAGTTTGTATATATGTTGGTAATAGTCTTTTGAGAGTTTAATTTTTTTTCGGAAATTCGCCAAGCTCACCAAATTATATTTACGAAATGGAATTAATTTGTAAATATATCCGCCTAAGCTCACCAAATTTAATATTTACGTAAATGGAAATTATATTTGTAAATATATATATTTTATATATACTAATATTATATATGGTATATATAATGCTGGAATGTACAAAAAAAAAACCTTGTAACATTTCTTTTTTTTTTTGTTAACAAACATAACGCGTGAAACTATAATGCTGAAGACAAAAAAAAAAACTTTACCATTTCTTTTTTTTTTTTTACAAACATAGGTGGAAACGGGTTGCTTTATTATTGTACATTATAATAGAGATTACTTTTTTGTTGTACATAAAAAAATTAATATTTATCAAATAATTACTTTATTTATATATTTTTTGAAAATCAACTGTAATCCAGAGAACTCGAATTCGAAAACTTTCACTCCTTATATAAATGAGAAGATTTATCATATTACCAGTAAGCTTAAGTTACAATATCTTGTATCATAAATAAAATTCTAACTTTGTATTTATTCCACCTGGGATAACTTTCTTTCTCACGTAAACCAAATTCAAACAAGTTATAATAACAGCAAATCCATTTGTCTATCCGTTTCCTCCAATAAATTAATTAATGACATCCTCAATGGTTGCGCCTCTAGTGCCCTGCACTCATCGGAGAATCTTCATCCCCTCTATTCCCGTTTTTTTAATTTTATTTTTTATTTGGAACCCTAGTTTCTCGGCCCTCGATCTGCCATATAAGGAGCGTGAATTCTCATTGTAAGGCTATTAAAATAATTTAATATTTTCATTTTATAGTCCAATCATTTGCACATGTAAATCCGATATGGCGGTCTAAGAGCATCTCCGATGTAATCATGAATTGTGATTAATGTGTCTTAATAAATAGAAGTTGTGGATAGTAATATAACTGAATGTGTATTTGTAGATGTTAAATTTGAAAAAATGGCTCTCTAATACTTCCTCGTTATATTAGAAATTCTGATGATGTGTATTTTATTTTTCAAAATTATATGTAATTAAAATTAAACCTAAAATTAAATACAATAAACTAAAAACAAACCCAACAGAGAGTTGCCGCAACAAATGACCATCAACCAAATACAAACGAAGAACAATTAAATATAAACAAAGAACAGCGTCAAACATATGCAAACCCAGTTTTTTTTTTTTTTTTGGTTTCAAAATTGAATTTGACCGTGTTTTCTTCGACTTTTCACCTATGAACACTACAAACAACAGACTAATGTTTAAATCTCATTTTACAAGTTCCATTTGCCATGTTTTTGCATAGTTTGCATTATACATATCAATTAATCAAAAAGGCCAACAAAATCTGTTGTGGGGTCCCTCCGACAAGTGGGACCCACACAAGTTTGAAAGAAAAAAAAAGGAAGAAGATGTGTGGTGTTGTGGACCCACACACAAAGTTGACCCACACAAGTTTGAAAGAAAAAAAAAGGAAGAAGATGTGTGGTGTTGTGGACCCACACACAAAGTTTGAACAAAGAAAAAAAGGAGCTCGTTTATTTTGTTGTTCAAAGGACGATGCCAAAAAAAGAAAAAACAAAAGAAAAAAAAAGTGGATGCGTGATTAACACGTCCATTTGGTGGACGCGTTAATAACACATCCCCTTCTCCTATTTCCTTAAACAGATGTACAAAAACATAAAACGAAAGGATCCAGTTAAGTGTAGAAAATTTTAGGAAAGGGTTCCTAAACTTGGAAAAGAGAGAAAATAGTAAGGAAATTATTTTGGGATGTTTTTGGGAAACACGAAACACTTAAGAGTGCCACATTTTTGTATCTCTTTTTGTTAGCTACTGTTTTTAGTAGAAGAATCTATTCGGAGTTTTTGTCCGTGGACGTAACCTACCTAACAGTTGAATGGGTAACTATACGTAATCTTGGTGCTTGATCTTTATTCTATTCATGTCTCCGAAGCATTGTACGGTAATTTATTTAATTTTTACGTGGGTATTATTTCTGGTGGATTCGATCCGTGCAATACTCATACAGTAATTATTGGGTTGTAATTTTACATAGTAGGTATATGTGGTGAATCACAGTTGAAGGGTGAACTACGTAAATCTTGGTGTTCTTATTTTTCATCTGGCATTTACGGTAATTATTTAATTTTTACCGTGGTTATTATTTCTGGTGGATTCGATCGTCAATCTCCAATACGTAATTATTGGAGGTATATGTGGTAATAGTAATTTTATTTTACTTTTATCACCGGTATTTTCCATGGGCCCCACTCGGGATAAGTTGTAATCCCAACAAAATCTAGCATGAGAAACTCCAATAAAAAATTTCAAAACACAATCAAAAAGGAAATACATTAAATCTATTTAAATATATTGAGAATCAAAATATAGAAAAGAAAACCTTATATCAAAATATGCAATTCCAACATAAGCAAAATAGTTCAATATTATTACACCAAAAGCAACAACACAATTTGTACCATTAAACTAGAAGAATTTCAGCAGTAAGAAATGAGAAACTAAAAGGCTAATATGCTTTCATTGTACTCAATTTGCACCACAGATATTTGCCTCTGCCACCAAACAACATAAATAAAAAATAAAGTTCAGGAAGCACTAATCAATAGCAAATACTAGATCCGGGGACAAAAAGAAAAAATCTGTTTCAGTGCAAGAAAAAGTCTGAAGCAAATAAAATAGAAGGTGTAAAAGGAAAATAAAAAAATAAGAAAAGAAATGAATAAATAGGAAAAAAAAGAATAAATAGCTAAGTCACATATCTAACAGATCCTCTGAAAATAGAGAGCGTGACGGACAGTGTCTATTTTTTTTCTGACACATCAAACTAACAGATTAAACAGACAATAATATTAGAGAAGGTTTTTGTTTTTAATTTCCAGTTTTTCAGTTGTGACAAATAAATTATAGCAATCCATAGTTACATTGAAGATGCTCTAACTATGGTCCTGTGCAGCTTATTTTTGAATATTCAGTTGGTCAAACATTTTCTGTTTGTATTCCAACAAAATGTTATGTAAGCTCGAGACATTGATTGAAAATTTTTTTGGGTTCAGACATTTGATTGTAAAAATTTTTCGTTGAGACACTAAAATAGAAAATTTTAGAGATTTCAAACACAAAATTATAATTAAGCGTTAGTTAATTATTGAAAAAACTAAAGAATATCTAATATTATTAATGAAATTAATACAAATATTATCTCAATTAATGTTTAAATTAAAGAAGTAAAATTAAAAAAATAATATAAAAACGTTTTCCTTGTCAATTTAGCACATTAAATTTTTTTTTTTTTTGTTTTTTTTTGTAAACCACCAGTACCCGGACCTTATTACTAAGGACCGCCTAATCCGGCTCGGAACTTAGTCACAGTTAAGACTCTTTATCTCTCCCTATAGGTGTGTTTAGTAGGGATTGAACAATAAATTATTTCTTTTACCACCTCAGCAAATTAATGTTTTAATATTATGACATGTACACGAATGTGCTTCTATTTTTATATTTATATAAATATCTCAAGTGATATTATTTAATATGTTAAAAAATAAAGGTAATTTAATTTTGATTGGTTATATTAATTTTCTATTTAAATCTAAACCCTACAAAATAAAATAAAAAATTATATTACATACTAAATAACGCACATATTAAATATTTAAAGAAGGTAATAATTCAATTTGATAAAATAAGAATTTATATAATATATTAAATACTGTATATTAAATATAATAGGAATATTTCCTTAAAAAATATAATAAGAATATATACAATGGTCGGTAAATAATAAAAAAATATAAATTCAATAACAAGTATCTACAATAAGAAACGACATGCGTATGCTTATTCAAATACTAATAAAATAAAAACAAAACAATACAATTCAAATAAAAAACAATAACAATTGAAAAAAAGATCATAAAAAAATTTTTTTTTTCTCTGTGTAATAGCCATCAAAATCTGAAGTTCTGTTCTATTTATTGTAGTTGAATTCTAATTTTTACCTTGCAAAATTCTTTGCTAGATTTACAAAAAGGTCCACTCTCAATTGAAAATTTCTTTCCCACAAACAATTAAATGAAGAAATAATTTCTAAATATATATACATTGTTGAATAAAACCAATAATAATTAATTAACAACACCATTAATTTGCCATGAAATTTTGAAGGTTTATTACCATCACAGTAATATCATCCATGTTGCCTCTGCTAAAAGACATGTCTACAAGCTTTTTGCAAGACTCAACTGAATTCTTGTCTCTTGAAATTACATCAACTGCTTCTTGCACATCCACCTGCAAATTGTCATAGATTAACAATTTTACTTGATTAGTTCCTAAAGATTCAAGAATTTTTTTCTCTATCTTGGGTTTTTCTTGAAGCTAGAAAATGGAAAATTGAATATTTTTTGTTGGAAATGAGAACAATACAAATTGCTTTTTAATTTTAGAGCAAAACAACTTATTTTAAAAGGTCTCGTTATAATTGTAAATTTTTCAAATATAGTTCAGTATTCTTTTACAAAAATTAATTTGTGATCGAGCATAAATTTTTACACTTATCATCTTCTATTTATTTTTATAGGTTAAACTATGTTCATAAGTCAATCCAACGTGATTAGGGCTACGTTCGGCAACAGTTTTTTTAAGTAACTTTTACTATTTTTTATAATATTCAGTAAACTAGAGTTTGAATTGGTTTTTAAAAGTTAAGGTAGCATTTTATAAAAAGTTAACTTATAAAAAACTACTCAAACAGCTAACGACTACTAAAATAATTAAATTAGCACGAGAGATCTAATCAAGTTCTGAATCCCCATTCACGATATATAATTTCACTAATTTTAGAGAGAACCCTGTTATATAATCTTCAGTTTTGCCTCCAGTGAATAAAAGATATATGTAAGAATATATGCATATTTGTGTACCTTATCCCACAATCCATCAGAAGCCATTATCAAGAAGTCACAATCAGAAGTTAGTGGTAGCCTTTTAATCTCAGGATCAGAAATGATCCAATCTTTCAAATGTGAGTCTCCAATAGCTCTAGAAATGGCAAGTGAACCTTGAACTCTCCATATTCCATTCCGGTAATGCACAAAACCACCCTGATAAATGTTTAATTAAAGATTAAATTAGTTTTTATTCAATTTATTAGACAAGAAATGTAGATAATTAACAAAAAAAATTTACTTGGAAGTTTTTCTTTTTAAGAAAACACAGACAGACCGAATCAGAACACAAGCTTTATCAAAACTATAGCAATTTTGCAGATCAAAGAGTAACTAAAATATGAAGATGGTGAAGTAATTAGACTTACAGAATTTTCGATGCGAAGGCGTTCATCTTCCCTGCTAAGTCGATGATCAATTGTTAACGTCTCAGCTACTCCTTTTCTACTCAAAATTACTCTACAATCACCCACATTAGCCACATATAATTCTCCATTCTTGAATAGAACACTTGCAGCACAAGCTCCACTACTTACACCCTGTTATTCAAAATCCAATTTCAAATTATCATTAACTGTAAACTTCTTTACTACAATATGAATGAAAGGTTGCATTACTCTCTATATATTTCAATTCCTACATTATAAAACAAATACTCGACTGCTAAAAAATTATTTAATCTAATACTAAAAAATAACTATTACATAACTTTATGGAATGGACGGTATTTTATTCTATATATTTCAATTCCTACCATTATAAAACACAAATACTGACTGCTAAAAAATTAATTTAATACTAATAACAAAAAAATAATCTATTTACATAACTTTAAATAGGAATGAACGGTATTTTATATATATATAATATTATGTATATATAGTACTGTTTTGTTCTAAAAGAAAGGCATACCCTGAGAAATGCAGATTACAAGCAAACTTTGTGGCCATGTTTGTTTGGCAGAAGCTTTGGAATTAGATTTTAAGCGTTTGGATCAAGTCATAACTCTATATATCGGTTTGGCAATTTATTAGTTTTTTTCCTAGTAGCTTTTTAGATGTTTGAGAAAATCATTCATGAAAACATATAACGCTTTCAACCGAGAATTAACCTTAAAATTTTTTTAACAATCTTATACCCATTAATTTTTTTCCTCAAATCTCAACTTAATTAAATAGTAAATGTTATTTTTTTATTTAAAATTAGTTGACATTATATATATATATATATATATATAGTTTTGTTCTAAAAGAAAGCATACCTGAGAATAAATTACAAGCAAAACTTTGTGGCCATGTTTGTTTGGCAGAAGCTTTGGAATTAGATTTTAGCGTTTGGATCAAGTCAAAACTCTATATAATGTTTGGCAATATAGTTTTCTAGTAGCTTTTAGAGTTTGAGAAAACATTTCATGAAAACATTAACGTTTCAGAGAATTAATTAATTTTTTTTAACAATCATACCCATTAATTTTTTTCCTCAAACTCAATTAATTAAATAGTAAATGTTATTTTTTATTTAAATAGTTGACATTATTTTTTGTTTAAATAGTTAATACTCCCTCTGTCTCATTTTGTTTGCATAGTTTGACAAAATACGCATATTAAAAATTTAGTCTAAAAAAAGTTATTTTACTATTTTTTACCCTTAACTTATTAAGATATTAATAAAAATCATTCATTTAATATACAATTATAAAGATGATTATGGAAAAAATAATTGTTTACATATACAAATTTAAAAACCTTAAAAATATTTTGAGATGAAAGCAGTATTATTTTTTGTCATTATTCTAATTTGTTCTATAAATAAATGTCAGCTAGTAGCGAACAGTTATTAAAATAACTAATATTACTGAGCAGACTCTATATACGAAACACCACTTACATAATGTGCAGCAACTTACAAGATATATAAAGGGTCTAACTTGTAATTTTGGTAACTACAAATATTTCAAAACATAAAATAGAAAATATTAACTAATTTTTATTAATTTTGATAAAAACATCTGCAAGTAACGTGAATGAAATGAGAAAAAATTAAAAAGATCCAAATAATAACTTTTGTAAAAAATTAAAAAAAAAATCCAAACATCAAAGAAAATCAAATAAGTAACTAGACAAAATTGTCAATTTGTGAATTATTTCCTTTCCATTATAGCACTTAAACCAACATATTTTATTTCATCAATGGTCTAAGGTCATCATTTACGTTTGAAAACACAAGTTGAATTTGTCCACATGATTCCTTACTATGTAAGTAACAATTGCCATTAAATGTGCAAAATATGGTTATACAAGTTCAAACTTCAAATCCCATCAAACAATAATTAAATTACTTGAGACTTGGTCAATGTATTTTTATTATTGAAGTTGAAAAAATATATTAATTTTACCTGGCTAAGAAAGTCCTTATCTGTAACAAGGTACCCTCCATGAATGGCTTGTTCAACTAATTGACAATTATCATCTTCTTCCTTTCCTGAACTTTCCATTGCTTTTACAATGTTCTTTCCTAAATTTTCTGCTACATAATCTGCTGCTGCTCGCCCTCCATGCCCATCAATCACAGCAAAACATGCCTGTATAGGTAAAACAAAATTAATCTTAAAAGGGAGTTATTATCTATCGTTGGCCTCCATGGTAGAATCAGTCGAGGGTCCGAGAGGCGGTGATTTACTCTCGCGGATGTCAGCTGTCAGCGGTTGGAGTCCGCTTATCTTAAAAATGCTTTGCATATATATAATTAATATAATGAAATAAAGCAAATTAACCATGCATATAGAGCATCCAAAGAAAATTTCCTAAAAAGAACACAAACATGGATTGTACTAAAAAGCTAGTTTCGTGCACGAAAACTGACTTATAATATCACTTTATTTTCAAAAAAATAGAGGGAAAAGGAAAAATCGAAGAAAAAAAAAAGAATATATATTGCAGATTTTTTTTTATCATTTTTATCTCTATATATATAAACAGAAAATGGCTCGATTATATATATGCGTTATTTTATTTCAATATACTTACATTATTGATAAAAAAAATGAAGATAAAATGCAGATTGGGGTAGCATTTTTGGAGGGAAAGAAAAAGAAATTAGAAATAAGTTATGAATTAATTTATAAATACCTGCTTTGCATCACCAAGAATATCTGTCATGACCGCATATCCATCTTCCATGACCTGTCTTCTTCCTTTCTTGCTAGCCAAACAGAAATATTTCCCTTCAACTTCAAATTCCTTATTCTCTAATTTTCTATCTTTCTCACCAAATTCCAATTTGTTAGGACAATATTCTGGCACAACCAATCTTGCAGGCCTCTTCTTCAACTTGACATTTCCAACTTTTCCTATTCCTAATTCTTTATTATTGTTATCTTTTAACAAATAATTATCATGCAAAGCCTTTTGATATGCTTCAAAATGCAAATTTTCTTGCATGAATATTTTCTCCCCCACTTGGGTTTCATGCGAACCCTTTGAAATTTCTTTTGAAGCCTTATTATTATTTCCTTGAAACTGACTAACCCATGAGAGAGGAGAAGACAAAGAAGAAGGAGAAGATGAAGAAGAAGACGTAGATTTAAGGCATAAAGAGGCCATAGAAATGGCCTTCTTTAGATTTTGAAAAAAGCAAAAGGCAATAGATATAATTATAGAGAAACCCCATAAGAAATCCTCTAAATCTACCATAACTTTCTTCTTGACAAAATTTTGTAGGCGCAATAATAATAATATTGCATGAGATTAATTGTTTATATATATATAGAGAGAGAGAGAGACAGAGAGACAGAGACAGAGAGAGAGAGAGTGAGAGAGAAGGGAAAAGAAAAAGAAGGTATGAATCATGCAAAGAAGCAATTAGGAGTTTGAAACATTGAAAGGTTCTTTATAAATTGAAAGAGGCAAGAAGAGGGTGGGAAAGGAATATTATATGTATAAGAACAACAGCACACTCTAATTATATTTCTTTCTTTTGATGATAATTATGATTGACGGGTCAAAGAGAGAGGGATAATAGAAAAAGACATGGGAAAAGAGACAAATTAAGAAGGAATTGGACGATTTTGACACTTTCAAAGCCAAAGAAATGGTCTTATATAGTATAATAAAATGAATGAGATGGTGGGTAATGTGGAATGAGAATTTAATGCAAATATACGGCTTTTAGGTTGCGTGTTTGGGGGTTTTGCTTTAATTCACTGCTATCTATATATATTATTGCCGCTGACTTGGTGAAACAAATTGATTTGAATTTGTCATGTCCTTTTCCTTAGGGATTAAGTATTGGCCAATGCTAATTTCACCTTTTTAATTTATTTTGAAAAAAATCTGGTGGCACTCTCAATTTTTACTTTAATCTATTAAACACTTTAATTTATAAAAGTATACCAATTAACATTATAAAAAAAACGGAGATTTGTGACTGACAAATCCGTCGCTAAATCTGAGAAATCAGTCACTAACTTTATTCAACGATTAAAATTGCGACGGATACAAGTCCGTTGCAAAAGTACTCGTCGCAATTTCTTTTGCGATCAAATTACTTAGTGGTCGCAAATTAGCGACCGATCTGTCAATTGCAATCTATGGAAAAGCAGTCGCTAATTTGTGTCTTGTTTTCCAGTTGAAAACTTATCGTAAAGTGGTCACAAATATCAAAAGTCAGTCGCTAATCAGTCGCAAAAGTTGAATTTAATTGGTTTATGATTTGGTCGCAAATCTAAATTTAACGGTTATATTGCAGTCGCAGTTCAGTCGGTTGCAAAATTTGATTAGAAGAAAAAAATATAATTTAAAAATATTAAAAACTACAATTTTTTCCACATGTTAAAAATATACATATATATATCACAAGCATCATCATCAACATCACTACAGAATAAGAATCCAAAAAGGAATTGTAAATATAATGTACTATACAGGATATGAAAAAATCACAAATAGCTAAAATGGTCTAAAATCAAATCCACGGTAATGGTTTTCTGGACAATCCAGTGTAGTGTCTGCTGTAGTGTTTGCAGGAGTGACCAAGGTATTGTCGACAGTATCTGGATGAAGAGGAGAAGATGGTGGCTGATGCAGAGTAGAAACATGTGGATCTATAGCAGGCGGAGAATCGGAGGAAGAAGTACCAGAACTATGCAAATCGGATATCCGCATTACATGCGCTCTAAACTCTGCAAGCTCTCTGTCTCCTGCTCTTCAACACGAGGCCATAATGTATTAATCTCCTCGACATTATGGTCGGGAGGAGCGTTAAATGCTGAGCTGCAGTAAAACTGTGATGCCTGAGACCGATGCCATATACTTTTCCCTTCTTTTTTCCCCCTGCCGCCTCCAGATACAGTGCTAACTCATCAATTCTCGGCTCAGCTTCCGATCCAGCCTGAGAAGAAACAATACGCTTATGAGCTGTACTGTAGTTCTCCTGAAAATAACAAATTAATTAATCAACATTACAGTTGTAAGATTTATTGAACTTGAACGCGTAAAAGAAGAGTACATAATAAATAGAAAAACACTTCATTATTACTTACACTAATGCTAATCACACATCTGTCAACAAACGTATGTCCATCGTGGTCCTTTGTGTGAATGTAAGTGAACACCTCCATTGGTGTGGGCTCACGACCATATTTTTCAGCCTACACTGAATTTTTATGCATAATATAATATGGTGTCATTTCATTAAACGTTAATTTTGTAACTATAACTAATTATCTCACCAATAATTGAGATGTCTCCATAACAAAGATTGATCTGGCTATGTGTCGGGAACGTCCTGCTCCATCACTGCAGTCTCACTGCGCCTGTTTCATGCAAATATCTCACACTTTCTCTTGAATCTGGATCCTCCCGAGCCTTCTTCCAGCTCTCCCATATCTCCTGAGACACACACTGCTACTTCTTACCATTTTTTCGCATCTTATAAGTGAAGTTAGCATACCGTAGAGCACACAATTTATCCCAGGCCACTTTCAGCATAACCGTGATAGTCTCTTCCCATACGAAATGCTTCTACAAAAATGAAAAACAATATTTCCATAAAGAGTTAGTGAAGGCCCATATATTCATATTGTTAATTACATTGAATGAAGATATAACTTGAACTAAATTGTGACATCCTACCGAGTCGAGTCTTTGCATAGAGTCGAGTCGAGTTGAATCGAGTTGAACCAAACCCGGTTGGGGTAGAATGGGATTATTAGTGGAATTACTTGATTGAGAGAAAAAGAGCAAAGTGTAAGAGTCTTTGCACATAGAGTCGAGTCGAAGTTGAAATCCGAGTGAACCAAACCCAACGGTTGGGGTAGAATGGATATTAGTGGAATTACTTGATTGAGAAGAAAAAGATGCAAAGTGTAAGATTAGGATTTAATGGCAATAAAAGAACAAGCTTTGGGTATTAAGTTATAGCCTTTTGACAATTGAGGTAATCATTTAGTAAGTTTCCATCAATTTATCTGATTTGTGATGACTTAACCCCGTAATCAATCATTTTACTTTCCCATTGTTCATCTTATCTTCATCTTCTTCATCTCCTTCATTTTCATTTACTTTTTAGGCAACCTCAATTCTCTCCAAGTAAGTAGAGTTACTTGCAGCTTATTGTTATTCAGTCTCTACTTGAGTGATATTGTAGATAAGTTGTAAGAATTTTGATGTGTATAGGAGAAGGGATGTTACAGCAATCATGATATTTGGTGTATACAAATGAAGGCTCTACTGGGATCACTTGATGTGTGGGATCTCGTGGAGTCTGGATTCACCGAACCCGACGCGACGGCGGAAGCACAAATGAAGAAAGAAGAAAAGGAGGAGTTGAAGGAGCTAAGAAAGAGGGAGAAGAAGGCCTTGTTCACAATATATCAAGGTCTCGACGAAACCGCGTTCGAGATAGTCACCCCTGCTAAGACGTCAAAAGAAGCTAGGAGATACTCCAAAAAGGGTTCGGTGGTGTCGACAAAGTAAAGAGCTTTGCATGGGTTTTTGAATCACCCAAATTGGATTTGTATATTGAGAGATATGATCAAAAGAGTCCAGACTGCGCAGGCTGGAAACGCGTCGCGACCTGGTACTGCGTAGGCTGGAAGCACGTTGCGCGCTCGCGACTTTGCACTGTGCGCGCGCTACTTTCACTTCAAACTCACTGACTCTCATTTTGTTCTTCTCGCGCTCGCGACCTTGCAAGACGCGCTCGCGAAGTTGGCCCTTGGCCTGGAAGCGCTCGCGACTTGAGTTGCGCGCTCGCGTAGTTGGCATGAAAACTCACTGTCTCTCATTTGGCACACTACGCGCTCGCGACTCTCAAGTACGCCGCGACTTTCAAGTACGCGATCGCGACTTGTGCCTGAGAACACACTGTCTCTCTCTTATTTTCTGCATCTCGATTGAGCGCTCGGCGCTCGCGACTTCCACAGGCGCGCTCGCGACTTGGCTTTTTTTGGACTTCAATTTCAATGCAATTGTATTCCTTTGCTTACCATATATGCCTCCAATCATTTTAGCATCAAAATATATCATGAGAACATGTATTAAAACACCATGCAAGCATGCAAATGATGTGAACTCATATGAACATTATGATTTATGAAGTGATGAACTATTTCTATGATGTTGTGTTATACTTTTGACATACCAACATGATGCTCCATTGAGGTTAGGTAGAAACCACGTCGATAAGGCCATGTCGCGACATAGGATAGCAGATTTGCGCCTCATACAGTTTGTTACTCCGGCTACAGGCCGTTGAGTGGATATGATTATATGAGCCATAGCAGCCAAGATGATTATATGGGCCATAGCAGCCAAGTATACAGTATTCATCCAGTTTATACAGTTTTCTTATCACCTCGATTTCGCTATAACCTTATGGAGCCATACAGATATCTGGACATAACATTGCATAAATCATACAGATAAATGAAAGATATCATGATATGTGTGCTGTGCCTTGTGTGCCTACATGATTCTTTATATACAAGTATGTGCTTTATTGTTTCTTTCCATGTTGAGATATCCACTGAGCTTTATTTGCTCAGCGAGTTACCTGTTTAACTCGCAGGTTTTGAGACTAGTCCATAGAGGGTCCGTTTATCGTAGAGGGTCCGTTTTACAACTGCTGCCTTCATCTGTAGGACGGAACCTCGGTCTTCAGGGCTTAGAAACGTCATTTTGTTATGTCTGTTTATGTGCTGTACGGGCACACAGTTGGGCCCAATCCCGATTTTGTTAACTAGCTATCATGTCTTTGAAAAAGGATTATCAGACAGTATTAATACGTAACAGCATCAGGGCAGTGCTAGTATGTTCAATATGACAGGATGATGTCAGCATGACAAGACATACAGTCAACTAACAGCATCAGCATGCTAGTATGTTCATATACAGGATGATGTCAGCATGACAAGACATACAGTCAACCAGTTTGTAGCGTCTCGTCTCGGTTTATTCGGGTTTACGGGTGGACCGAGAAGGGATGTTACATAAATCGTACCTGAAACTCTTCGTAGTAAAAGTCTCTCGCCTCTTGTGGTATGGCATCCCATGTGTATCCATTTTTATCCAGATGTAGCTTGATTATCCTCATAATTTGCCTTGATACTCGAGAGGATGGATATATGACCAAAGTGAAATATAAGTAGACGAACTAATCAAAATCTAAAAACACCAAATTCAAAAGAAAAAGTAAACAAGTACTTACTATCCCGATACCAAACTGAGCTTGTTACGTGGCTCTGATGAAGCTACAAAAGGAGTAAGTGACAAATGCTATCAATAGAGGGAAATAATATATAACTAAAATGGCTTAGTTAATGGTGCTAATTAACATTTATGATTACCTAGTGTAGTAGAAGACTGTGAAGCTGGTGAAGACTCTGCCGGTCTAGCAAATGGGGAAGAAGAGAAAGGAATAGAAGGAAGTGGTGGCGGCACGGGGGACTGGGCAGAAGATGAAGCCCTAGGTGTACCAGAAGAAGGAGGAGGAGGTAGAGGAGGGATAGTCCTTTCTCGTCCACATGTATTACGTCCTCAGCCACGACCTCCACGCATACTGCTGCCAGATGCATTTGAATCAATCCCCCTGCCTTTAGCCATATGTATTATAAATAACAGAACCTACATATGTATGTATACAATTATATAAATGGTAGAACATGTGGTAAATATGTACAAAAAAAAGTCAATAATATTCATTAATTCATCATAAATATTATATATACATCTATTAATTTATTATTCATAATACATAATGCATTAAGTATTTTTGTCTTCTTCATCTTCATCGTAATCTTCTTCTTCTTGATCTTCGTCTTCTGAGGTACCCATGATGATTTGATCTTCTTCCTCTTCATCATCTGATGCACCTATTTCAATATAAGTTCCGCTTTCATCATCCATTATATCTATTAAATCTTCAACAACTTGCATCGATTGCGTATCGATCTAACTTATTGAAATGGCTCAAATATTGCAAGTAAAGCAAATTATTTAGTTTCAACTTCATGAACAACTACTCTAGGCTTGATTTTGCATACCCCCATCCAATCGCAACGATCTCGTTCTAATGACGGATATGGAACATAGTATACCTGTGCAGCTTGCATCGCCTAGGCTTGATTTTGCATACCCCCATCCAATCGCAACGATCTCGTTCTAATGACGGATATGGAACATAGTATACCTGTGCAGCTTGCATCGCCAACACAAAAGGTTCATACTTTGTGCATCTTCTTCTTTGATTAATATCTACAAGATTATACTTAGGATGAACCTTTATACCAATGTTTGGCGTACGATCAAACCATTCACATTTGAATAAAATTGTGCACTTGATTGGTAGGGATGGATATTCTAACTCCAAAATATCAACCAATTTGGCATAAAAATCATTTAACTCGTCATTGTAGTTTGATCCATTTATGCAAACACCACTGTTCATTGTCTTTCTGCTTGTCCCGTAACCCTCAGTGTGAAACTTGTAACCATTTATAAAGTAGCCAGAGTAGGCATTAGCTATTGATAAAGGTCCTTTTGCTAGATTAGTAATAAATATGTATCAACATTGCTTCCCAAGGTTCGAGCCGGTAGGAAATAGTAATGACACGAGTAAAATATAAGAAAGTTATATATGTTGTGTAACTAGAAAGTTACTCACATAACATTTGAACCAATCTGCAAATTCAGAGTCTAGTTTTGCATCAACTGCAGTATTAATCAAATTGGAATTTTCGTAAAAGCTCGATATATTTCCTGTTTATGAACGAACAAAAATATCATAAATATGATTTAACTGAGCTTTATTAAGTTTAGAATATCTACAAGATTATACTTACTATACAAATGGTGTAATCTCTTCGTAATTCAAGTTTGAGCCACTCGTATCTCTACATCAGCCAATCGTCTTTTTTTTATTATTTACCAATCGTACTGTCAGGATAGGTGAAAATTGTTAAATTCCCCTTTAACTCGGATTCTAGTTGATCTCCCCCATCATCATTGCATGGCACTCTCTGATGTTTGGTGTAAACATATGGTTCGAAGTAGTGTGAACAGAGGTGGAAGCTTCTTCCACCAAATATGCATTGCAAATTAATCCTTCAACCTTTGCCTTATTGTGAACGTTCTTTTTTATTTTCTGCAGATGCCTGTAATTGTACAAAGATAATATGTAAATGTGAGTTAAATATACATTGTAATGATTAGGATGGAATGGTAGTGATTCGCCTCTCGAATAGATACATCCATCTATATTTTATCGGTGCTACTATACAACATTCATAAGGCAAATGAATTGGCAAATGCTCCAAAGAATTAAAGAAGCCGAGCAGGAAAATTCGCTCCAATTTGCATATCACTATTGGAATTTCTCGGGCTAATTGATCCATATCATCGCATCGGATAACAATCGTGG